CATTCGAGGAGAAAAAGCAACACACAAAAACAAAGCATAGTTTCGTTTTTCATACAGATGATCAATTCTGTTTTCTATGTTAGAAACGTGACGTACACAATATTCTGAAGTATGCAGTCTTGTGTTTCTGATTATTGTAATAACATGATTAAAATTAAACCGAGACAATGCCAATTTTAAAATTATGGTCTGTTTTGTATTTCTTGCAGGTGTGTGTTTTTGTTGAGACTGTTGTTCTATTTTTAGTGGCTAGCGTCTCTTCAAGTTTTAACGCACATAACACGTATAGGCCACACAACACCTTTGTAAAACGCTGATGGCTGATTTGACACCTCATGTCAGACCGTGGCATTTAGGACCAACCCGGACTGAGAGGGATATAACATATCAGTTGACAGACCGAGGTACATGTATTCAATAGCAGTATCCCCAGCTCCACTCGGGAATAGCACTCATGTTACCTTCGTGCGACGGCGAGGAGCCTACATGCTTCACCATAGACGCCAGTTTGCACAATCTTGGAATCGAACCAGTTACTTTGACATGAGAAATAAGCCATTTTCCGACCTCACTTCGGGCGACCCACCTCGGTTACGTTATCATTAAGTTTCTCACAGATTCGTTTTCGTTTTTTCGTTCTTTCTTTCCTTTCTTTCTGTCTTTTCTTTGATATATTGATAGACCCAATAGACCCCCTCCCCCCATAGCAATGCCCCACTCTGCGCTGTCTGTAGGGTGTACAATGCACATGGGTATAAATCGCCCTGGCTGTATTGAGAAATATTTATTATGCTTGAGCAGGGAGTGAGAAATGAAGGCAAATAAATAGAAACTCAAAGTGGCACGTTTGGGAGGACATACACACACAAACATACCCACATATACTCATATAATATGTATGTATATATACACAGACACACATTCATACACATATACACATGTGCACACACATACACACACAAGAAAGCACACAAACATAATACTCATTTCCACAAATATGTACACACACACACACACACACACACACACACACACACACAAACACACGAATACACATACACATATACACACACATGTACATATGTACCCC